ACAGAACAACACATCCAACACTCAAACGATGCATGTCGTCCCCTGCCCATCCATAAGGCACGCGCACAAACGTACAACATACAACAACCACAGTCCTGCCGCCTTCCATGTTCAAAAGCTGAGGAGACCGCGAGGTCACTGAATCTGCCCGGGTCCACGCTGGCGTGGGGGCTCCGCTTCCTGTGGGCGAGATCACAGACACTCTGCGCTTTTAGCAGGGTGTTTTGTGTGTACCTGGGACACGAAGCGAACTTCAAGACCTCTATGTTCGAAACCTGAAGCCAGCATCACAAACACCTTCCTTTTTTGGTCCTTCAGCACCGCAGCTCAGGATGAGATCCGGCATGCGAGCCTGGAGGTGGCTTGGTATTGATAAGTCTTGATCGGGTTGGGGTTGAAGTTTAGGGCCTAGCAGGTTGAGGAAACTTTGTAATAGACCCACCGGCCTATGTTGCCAGGCATCTGATGCGATGGAGTCCAGCAAGGAGTCTGCGCATAGCAAGGCTTTCTTTTACTATATGGTTTTCAGTTCGGTCTAAATGTCAATTGCCCTGTAACCCCAATGCCTGAGAGTATAAGGCCCTGGCGCTGCTGACGAGGCTGCCTCGTCAGACAGCTCCAGGAGACATCACCAGGAGGCCTCTCACAAAGCAATCCTGATACGTTTCTATGCGTGGGGCCATGATCAATACCTTAAACCTTAAACCCTAAGTTTCACTTCAGCTTCAGGCTGCCGCTTCTTCATCTGGAGCCGGAGGGCCCCTTGATGGCTATCCCAATGAAGCTGGACACCACGGTGAAGACTTTTCGGTGCCGGAGGAATGGCTCTCAGAAAGGAATCGTGTTTGATTTCTTTGTGTGGACCATGATCAATATCTGAGTTAAACCCCAAAAAACAAACACGACATGACTTGCCGGATGAAGGTACAATCATGTCGCCCAATTCCAAAAATTTTCTTCTTGTCACCACTAGCGCCCGAGCCCACTCGATACAAGAACGGGATCATGCGCATGCCCATCAAACTTCACTCCAAAACTTCAAGCAAACACCCCTCTTTGTTAAAAACGTGAGTCCCAGAAATGCCTGCAGCCGGGTTCCCGCTTAAGTCTACAAATCACCGGTAAGCCCGCTCTTATAAAGCTTGACGCATTCATGATGCGCGCGCGCGCTCTTATAAAGCTTGACGCATTCATGATGCGCGCGCGCGCGCGCGCGCGCGCGCGCGCGCGCGCATCCCTCACATGTGCTTTCTCATTGAAAGCACGGAAAAACAAGAGGGGAATATCGCTTTCGTAAAACAACGACCAACGAAAGCCAAATCTGTTTTTAAGGTTTTAACTCACTCTGATAGACGGGTCTACCCCGCTAAACCTTAAACCTTAAACCCTATAATCCCAGTTTTTCACTTCAGCTCCAGGCTGCCGCTACTGAAGCTCCGAGTCCGCATCCGCAGCCCGAGGCCACCACAGGGTTTTAAGTTTCTTGATTGAACGAGGGTTTAAAGGTGCAGGGTGAATCGTGGCAGTTTGCTAGAAGCATTCAGTGGTCCGTGCAAGATCACATTGTTGCAGGCGCGGGTCAGGCCGAAGCAGAAGCAGCGGCCAAGGCCACGGCCTCCGAGTCCGCCTCCGAGGACTCCGCAACCCGAGGCCACCACAGGGTTATAAGTTTCCTTGATAGAACGAGGGTTTAAAGGTGCAGGGTGAACCGTGGCAGTTTGCTAGAAGCATTCAGGGGTCCGTGCAAGATCACATTGTTGCAGGCGCGGGTCATGCCGAAGAAGCGGCCAAGGCCATGGCCATCTGCGCCATCTGCGCCATCTGCGCCATCTGCGCCTTCTGCGCCATCTGCGGCATCTGCGGCACCTGTGCCCGAGGAGTCTTTCGACTTTTGGCATACAAAGCTTATGATTATAGCCTTGGACCCCACCCTGCCAATTCCTAAGCCCTATAAGCCTGAAAACCCTACACCCGACCCGTTATGGTCCTTTTGCTCTAGCGCTGCCTAATCTTGGTTCCATTAAAACTCATGCAATCCTAGCATGTACAAGCACTTCCAACTGCGGGCCCGAATCAGCATAAATCTTTTTGGTCCAGGAGTTTGCATATTAGGGTGAAGAAGCGATTATTGTTTCTCACTACATGGCCTGAGGATGCCGACGCCGACCGCTGGGCAGGCAATGATCAGAGGGTGCCAGCCAGCGCAGCTCAGCTACTATAACTTAACATAACATGTTTGTTTTTTGTGTCGGTGTCAAAGACCTATGGAAGTGAGGTCAGGACACAAACCTAAACTTTTGGCTGGGGCTTATGTGTGGGATATCCCAAATGACTCAGGAGATCACCCCAAACATCTACGTTGGCACGGAGAGAGACACCCAGGGTTTTGACCTTCGGGTTCGCTGCTTGCCAACTTCCGAGAAAGGCACCCTCCAACTGCTGCTTGGGCCTTGATATTATAAATATATTTTTTTGTCGGCTAGTTTTGAGTTGATTATGGGAGGGTGTGAAGTGCTGGGCGACTCACCGTCTCAGGAACATAGGGCACAAGCCGTCGTTCCAGGCTGCCTGGCGCTCTGTGCCGCTCTTCTAAGGTGGCAGTCTGTCTCTGTCAGTTTCTAGCTTAAGCCTTAGACTGCGGTTGCCTCTTTCTCGGAGTGACGCCATTGTAGCCCCCCCAGGACAGTGATATCACATATAACACCTTTAAAAAATCAACCTAATAATAAGGTACAGATGTCCCTCTGGGTTGCATTATGCTTAGGCAACATTGGGCTTTTGCTTCATGAGGGTTCGGTGGGGGGGGGGGGGGGGGGGCGGGGGAGGAAGCATGCCACTGAGGTGTGCCTCAGTGGCAGCTTCTTCTGACTAGGTAACCTTTAACCTTATTGTGTAGAAGCATGCCACTGAGGTGTGCCTCAGTCTGCCTCAGTGGCGCTTTATTCTGAGTAGGTAACCTTTAACTTCAACTTGTTGGGTAGCGTGTACCAGGGTCCCTAACATTGAGAACTCAGGTTCAGAGAGGTTCGTCGCGTGGAACAGCGCGGCGGGAAGGTGCTTTTCTTTTGCGTCGCCGGCAAGCACCGGAGCGCCCTGGCTGCCACGCTCTACCTCTCCATGGCACACCAGGCAGGGTGAGGAGTTTCACGGAGTGTCGTTTGCGCATGGGGAATTTTATTGGACTTCGTGTGTCATATCTCAAGAAAATCGCAGCAGGCTTTGGGGTTGAAGGTTTAGGGTTCTTAGTCCACGCAACACAGCGTGAAGAAGCGATGTTCTTGTCTGCCAGATGTCGGCTTGGCGAGCAGAAGAGCTGGTCGCTCGCGCCCGGCCCAGTGCAGAGAACCTCTAGAGTCTGTTCAGTACCACTTTCTTTCGTTTGTCATTAAGTCTCCATAGTAGGTTTCCTCAGTTTCTGTCCCAAGATGGTTGGATGAAATCACTTACCAAGGGTCTGGCGGATGTATAGGAAGGCCTATGCGTGGGACATCTTGCAGTGCTCTCTGTGAGGAAAAGAGCTGCCAGAACTTATGCTCAGGGAGGCAAGGGGTTAAGGTTCGGGGTTGAGGGTTTAATCAACCTTACGTCATGGGTGTAGCGTTCCGTTCCGGAAATTTTTCGGGACTCCCATGCAGAAATCACATGCTCAAGCCATGCTCTCAAATCTCCCACAACCCCAAGCCCCGAACCCTAAGCCGAACCCTCGCCCTGAACCAAAACCCCGTCAACCCTAAGCCCAAGCCCTTACCCTCGACCCGAAACCATCCCAAGCCCCTCAACCCCAAGCCATAAACCCTTTGAGCCCGATCTACTCAGCAAGGAACTGGCCCTCGGTTCCAGTTCCTGAGCTTAGGGTTTAATGTGGTTTTGTTAGCTGTGTAGTCTAAGGGTAAAGGTTTTGGCTTGGGTTTAGGCAAGGAACTGGCACCGAGGTGTCCTCGGTTCCAGTTCCTGAGCTTAGGGTTTAATGTGGGCTAGCTTGTGGTTTCAGCTAGTTAGGTTCAAGGTCAAACCCTCAACCCCCAACCCTAACCCCTAGACCCCTAAGGGCTACAACTCAACCTCTTGCCAAAGAACTGACTGGCATCATTCTCGCTCTTTCTGTACTGAATGAATGACCAATCAGGTCAAGCCTCCTTGACGCCATCTTCGCCGCCGTGAGCCCAGCCCTGCAATGGGCATTCAGTGCTTATGGATGCAGATTTCATGCATTTCCGGAGTCGGGTTGTGTGAAAGGACCACAGCGATCAGGGTCTCCAACAATGGTGCATGCATGTTGTGGGCTTCATTCATACGGAACCTGGGAGTAGCCAGGAATAATTAATAGCAATTTTCCTTTCGTGGCGCAAGGCATTTCACGACTGGACAGACCCCAAAAACACTCCGGCCCTAGACCTAACCTCCTGACCTGCGACCTTCCAGACAGCAGGCTCTGGTTAGCAGCAGAAGAGCAAGCATGATCCAAACCAAAACTTGCGAACCTGAAACGTCCAAATCCTTGCTGCGGCACCTCACCAACAGCAGCCTCACCAACAGCAGCTCAGGTGATGAACCAACGCTTCGGCTCCAGATCTTGGCAACAGCCAGGCTAGGGGCGACAACAAGGCAAGGATGGTTTCGACGGAAACTTTTCGAGTTCCGAAGGAAATTTTTGCAGTTCGCTCAGGACCCATTAAAGATAACAAGCACCAGCTTCACTTCTTAGTCTTGACAAGGGAGTTCGCTCGGGCTCTGGGGAGTTCGCGGACAGGGCTTGGGAGTCCTCTGACCGGTTTGGGGAGTTTTCTCGGGCGCTGTGGGAGTCCTCTCGGGGGTTGTGGGAGCGCGCCTACCGATCAGTAAGCGTACTCTCCTTCTTCGATCAGTAAGCGTACTCTCCTTCTTATGTCGATTGCTGCTTGGCGTACTCTCCTTCTTCTGTTGATGATAGCCTTTCATGCAACAAGCTCTTTCATCTTCGACATGAGCGGATCCAGCTAGGACGCACTCGGGCCCGAGCAATGCCATCGAAAAGGAAAGGCGCACCTGCAGGGCCAGCGAGAGGCAGCAAAGGAGGCAAGGCAAAGAAGAAGCCAGCAAACAAGAAGAGAGGAAAAGCAGAGCCTCTTCTTGGGGCAGGGTGGGCAGCCTTTCTTCAGCATCTTGCAAAAACCGGGCCCACTTGGGCACTAATTGCGCTCTCTCTGGCACACATGTTATGCTGCCGCATATCAGAAGTACTACGGCTGCAGCTTCAAGACATCAACTGGGAGGACAAGAAGATTCGGGTTCGAGAGCTCAAAGGTCACGCAGAAATGATGAAGCCCTTATCCCAAGCCGCAGTCTTGTTCCTGGAGAAGCTCAAAGCTGAAGGTGGTCGCAAGATTTCTCGCACGAGGATGTGGGGCAGCAGAGGTTTGGTGACTTTCATGGATTGGTGGGTCTTTCCGCGCACCGCCGAGGGCTATTTGTTTCCGGCTTCACGCAAGGACTCTCAGACACCTCATCGGAACAAAGCGACTTGGCAAATATCAAGGTACTCAGAGTATTTGCCCGATCCTAATAACAGTCCTTTAGGTCTTATCACAGAAACCTGAACATGCATCAGTTTCACAGATCCTGTTCCTGAAGTGTTCTAGCCAAGGACGCCATGGCAAAGGCCATCAGGACAAGCCGAAAGTCTTTCGTGCCTCCGCCAGCAGCTGGTGCCATTCAAGTATCAAAGATACGCAGTCACAGTGCGCGACACCGATGCATCAACGACCTTAAGCAAAGCCACACATCAACATCTACAGCGATGCGCTTCTCGAGAATTCGGTCTTCACAGGTATTCAACGGGTACGGTCAACAATCAGACGACCAGATTGCAGAGGCCTTGGCAGCTGACCAAGGACTTCAAGAACTCTGGCTAGATCTTTACTCGTCGTGAGAAGCCGCGCAGAAGATGCCTTGTCCAAAGGCGGACTCTCGGACCTGATGCTCAGCGTCCAGCCAAAAGGTCGGTCATGCATCGGTGTCCAGCAGTCTGAGTGTGTACCTGGCCAGCAAGGCTCATATGCCCAGGATTAGGACCTTGCACTGAATTGAGACAGGAACTTAGTAGCTACTACTAGTACTCAACCGGCTTCCTATTTTGCTCATAGCTTTAAGGCCCACAGTGTAAACCTCCCGCCGCTCCTTCTTGCATAAAGGGCTCCAAGGATCCATGTTTGCGCTATCCGACGACCAAACCGGATCTTGACAGACAAGCGCCAATTCGCTTAACCCTAATTTGTAAAGTGTCTGAACGATTCTGGAGGGATTTCGGGGTCGGAGCCTTCCGGGTATGATCCTCAAGCGCGAATTTCAAAGAACAGCAGCTCCTCAATATGGTTTTTGAATCCGCATGAAGCAGATCTCCAGAACGGACTGCCGTCATGGCACACCCCAAACCGAAACATAGCTCTATGTATAGGGGCTCTACAATGCTTGCCCCAATCCCCAAACCGTGACACCGAAAGGTGCGCAGACCTGGCGCCGCTGGTTTCATCCTGTGGTCCAGCCATTCAAGGTCCTTGGCATGGGATTAAGCGGTCGATCAGGGAAGTTTCTAAGGTTTTGATTAAGTGAGGGGGCCCAAGACTCTGGTTTCAGTGCTCGAAGAGACATGCCAGTAAGTGAGGGTTCTTGATTACAAAAAGGTTGCCTTCTTGGGCTTTTGGGTTACGACTTGCATCAACGGCCCATGGCCCTGGCAACTTGTGTATGTTCGCAGGAAAGCTCGGCGGAATGCTTGTTTTCCACACAAGCACCAAAACGCAACCAGTTGCGATTTGAAGGGCTCCTCACAAAACCATGACCCCAACAGAAACCACACCTTAGGTTGGGCTCAGTGGTGGCATGAACTTGTGTATGTTCGCAGGAAAGCTCGGCGGAATGCTTGTTTTCCACACAAGCACCAAAACGCAACCAGTTGCGATTTCAAGGGTTCCTCACAAAACCATGATTTCAACAGAAACACCAGCTTAGTATTTGGGTTCCGTGGCTGCATGAAATTCTGTATGTTCGCAGGAAAGCTCCGCAGAATGGTTGTTTTCCGTACAAGCACCAACACGCAACCGGTTGCGATTTGAAGCGTTCCTCACAAAACCATTGATTTCACCAAAAACACCACCTTCGCATGCGTTGTATTGTGACATGGAGTATGCTCGCAGGAAAGCTCCACAGAATGTTTCTTCTCCGCACAAGCACCAAAACGCAACCACCTGCGATTTCAAGGGTACTTTTCCTCAGACACCATGAAACACCACCTTTGTATTTTGGTTCAGGGGTTGCATGAACTTGTGTGTATTTTTGCTGGAAATCTCTGCCGAATGCTTGTTTTTCCACAAGCACTAAAATGACACTAGTTGCGATTTGAAGGGCTCCTCAGAAAACCATGATTTCAAGAGAAACACCACCTTCGTATGAGTTGTGGACTTGTGTGTGCTCGTAGGAAGTATCCACACAATGCTTGTTTTCCACAAACACCAAAACGCAACCCATTGCGATTTGAAGGGCTCCTCAGAAAATCATGATTTCAACAGAAACACCACCTTTGTATTTGGGTTCAGTGGTTGCACGTGCCCGAGCTTTGATAACCCAACAAGTTGGGGATACTCAACCTGTAAACCCTGAATCCTGAATGCTAAACCCACCCATGTGCAAAGCTTGAATATAGTTCCGCCAAAACTATACTTCATGTTCGCTCTATCAGTATACTTTTTCCCTGAAACAACTGCCTGCGCCCTCGGCCAGGCCTATGGTGTCAACGTGTTGTGGTCGAGGGCGGCGAGGCGCACCTAGGATTTAGGGTTTCGGGTTTAGGGGTATAGTGTTTAGGGTCTATGGGTTTAGGGTCTAGGGCCTAGGGTCTATGGGTTTCGGGTTTCGGCAAAGAGTTTAGGGAGTAGGGTCTTTGTTGTCGGAAGCCAGCAAAAGTTTTGAGCAGATGGGTCTTTGCGATTTATGGCTTATTCAAACTGTCCTTCAATCTGGGTGTGGGGTTTAGGTGCATTTCGGGGCTTCCAGTCTGCTCAAACGCAACAACATAGTACTATTTACTATTTAGACTTATATTGGAGGATGGAGGGTGGCAGCAGGGACGGAGGGCGTTGGGGGGGTGAGCGTAGGGCACGGACATGAAAACGTCCTTACACGCGTTTCTCCAGCGAAGCAGCAGCATCAGCATAGTGAAAAGGCTCGTGTGGCCCTCTCGCACGCTGAGTCACCCCAAACTTTGTGTATTTCTTACGAAGTGCTACCGCAGCGGTTCTAAAGAGCTGCTTCCATAGTTGTTCCCACGCTGCTTTTTTGGCTGGCGCAGCCTTAGTCCCCCAATACCCCAGCTCCCATGCTATTCATGAGGTTCGCGAATTTGCATTCAGCGCGGATCACCTGGTGCTTGTTCAAGTTTTTCTGTCGCACCACCAAGATTCGAAGCTTCTCGATCGCAGTCCGCCGGAGCTTGGCAGAGAGTGCCATCGCGACGAACTCCATGGCAGCAACAGCTTCGGCGCAGAACTCCGGCGGCCTTGCGCCTGCGGCCTTGAGACCGTCAAGCAAAGCATGGGCCTGGGAAAACAGGGAGTGCAACTCCCCGAGCTGGACAAAACCTCTCATCCACAGAAAATCTTGAAACAGCGCTTCGTGGTACTGGCCGAAAATAGTCGCCGCTGCTGTCGACGATGTGCTGGTCTCCTCTCCCGACGGCGGTGATCCCGCGACCGTCTCATCGCTCTTCTTCTTGCTGTTTTTCTTTTGGGAAATCCAGCGGCGTCTATTTTCAGGTATGCTTTCTGCTCTGGTCTTCTTGTAAAGACGGAATCGAGGAACATGGCGGTTGTGGCCTCCCCGCCCTCCCCCGGGCTTGCAACAGACTCGGCTCCTGCTGTAGGTTGGTCGTCCGCATGCCAAGCACGCCCACGGCATTGCAACAAGCTTGCAATGTTAGGGGTTTAGGGTTTTAAAGCCTTCCGTGATGTAATGCCAAGGCACTTCCGGCTTGACAATGACTATATTTTCTTTTGTGACCCACACTTTCTTCAATTCGAAACCGATGCCTTGGGCCAGAGCAGCTGGGGGCATTGAAACACTCATGTCAAACTTGGCCGGATGGTCATGGATGACGCAAGGGGGCTTGGATCTCAGCGCCTGCACCTGCGCCTAGGGTTTCTCAAGGTCTTCTGCAAGTGTTCTACAGTATTATGGCCATTATTGCATGACAGAGTCTTATACTGAATGCGCCAATATGGTAGTGTTATGGTACTGTACAATAGAGTGAAGGGCGGCCTTCCATGGATGAGCTACTGCGTCGACGTCTGCTTTACCAAGAAAGAACAGAGGCCCCAGCAGTGAACTGTGTAGAGTGCCAGACGACCCCCCCAGCGTAGAACACCGCAAAAGTTGTTAGGTGGCCTTCATAGGGTTTTAGGGTTTATAGGGTGCAAGACCACGCCCGGGACAGGTCCCAGCCTGCACAGCCCCTCCCCCCCTTCGACCGTCAGACCCGCGATGCTAAGTATAGCTTCGAGCTATAGGACAAAGCGTAAGAATTCTGCAGAGAGAGGAAATCTGGCACCGACAGCGTGTGAGGCGATTGACCTCAATCTCAGGTCCTCGCTTCGCCCAGCGAGTTCTGTTGGTGTGGCCTGCGGCAGCAGAAGAGCTAGCTTTTTGGACATTGACTTTGAAAGTCTATTATCCTGCGATGCACAAGACTACTACACGGACAAGCCGGATCAAGAAAGTGCGACACATTTTGCTTGTTGGCGCTCGGTGCTGTGCTCGCTCCCACAGGGGAGCGGGTGGGCAGCCAGCCGCCTATGGCCGCTTATGCAAAACTCCTACACATCAAAACTGCTGTAGCTAGCGAATGGCATCATCTTTCGCATCATGGCAACACCTGCTCGTTCTTGCGAGCGGCCATGAAAGATGCGCGTTCGGGGCACTCCATCCAAGCCTTGCAAGCCTGACGGTGAACTTCCATACCGGTGTGGTTAGCCGCAAGCTCCCCATGCTCCGTCTTCCAGGCATTGATAAAGTCAGCCTTATGCATCGGAGAAACTGATGGCCGCTAGACGACTTATGGATTGATTTAGGAAATTGCAGAGAAGCACAAATGAGATTTTGCAGTAACGACGAAGAGTAAGTAAACAAATCCATATTTGCATCGCACTCAGGTCACTCGAACGGCCACCAAAGTCTTCTGCTTCTTGGCGCCCTCCTCGGCAAACGCATCGTCTGGGTTGATGTCCGGCGCAGCACCGTCGGGATTCTTTTTGTGCCACTCGCCAGAGACTTGGCGCTTCCTCAGGATGCGTGCAGCCTCCAAATTCACCTTTGAATTTGGAGACATGTCCATCATCTTGGCGCCTTTCGGGAAACGAGACACGAGCTCCTGCTTCTCCTCGAAAGAATATTGCTTGAGCTTCTCTTTCGCTGCATTCTTCCTGACATCCTTCTGGGCTGTCTCCTGGTCAGTCAGCTCACTCGACTGGCCGGCCTCGTTCACGTCGCTTTCCGTTGCCAGGTTCTGTTCCTGCTTCTCCAGCGGTGGAAAATGGTTTCTTCTCTTCGTGGGTAGTGCTGGGACTTAGGATTCAAGACGTCTCTTGTCAGGTCTGCTGCCATGATGGTTGCTCACGATTGATGTCTCTGTGGGTACGTAGGGTTTTGGGTTAGGATTTAGGGTTGGAGGGAGGCTATAGCGTCCTCCCGGGCAGCTGGCGTCTCGGTCAAGTCCACAACTTCTTGCTGGGCATCCTTCTCCTGGGGTATGCAGTTTATGTCGGTGGGTAGGGTTTGGGCTTATAGGGTTATGGATTTCAGGCCTTGTGCGTGTCTGCGGAATGGCTCAGCTTTGTGTCCACATCTAGATCTTTGGCCTTTGGGGGTGTCTTATGTTTCAGGGCAGTGCGCGGGTTTTGGCTTGCGGCACTTAAGGTTGCGGCTCTATCCTCCAAGCCGGGCACGTCCACAGCTTTGAACTCCTGAAGACTAAGAATAGATCTCAGTCTAGGGTTTCGGCTCCGGGGTTGGGTTAGGGATCTTAGATTGCGACTGTGTCCTGGGAGGCGGGGGGTGTCTCTGCGGCATGGCTGGTCTTCATGTCCATAGCTTTGGCGTCCTGGGTGGCGGGCAGCTCTGCGGCATGGCTGGTCTTCATGTCCATCTCTGCGGCATGGCTGGTCTTCACGTCCACGTCCATAGCTTTGGCGTCCTGGTTGGCGGGCGGCTCTGCGGCATGGCTGGTCTTCGCGTCCATAGCTTTGGCGTCCTGGGTGGCGGGGGGCGGCTCTGCGGCATGGCTGGTCTTCACGTCCATAGCTTCGGCGTCCTGGGTGGCGGGGGGCGGCTCTGCGGCATGGCTGGTCTTCATGTCCATAGCTTGGGCGTCCTGGTTGGCGGGCGGCGGCTCTGCGGCATGGCTGGTCTTCTTGTCCATAGCTTCGGCGTCCTGGGTGGTGGGGGGCGGCTCTGCGGCATGGCTGGTCTTTACGTCCACGTCCATAGCTTTGGCGTCCTGGGTGGCGAGGTCAGGATTTACGGTTTGGGGATTATATTTTTGAAGGCTTCTCTGTCTGTCCTCCAGGGCGTTGGGTCTTCTTGTGGGGCTGGGGTTCGGGATTAGAAGGGGTTCGGCTGCGTCTGTGTCCTGAGGGAACGTTTCTGCGGCATGCCCCAAATCCAGAACTTTGGCCGTCTCCTGAAGCAGAAGAAGGGATGTTATGTCTGTGGGCAGTGCTTGGGTTTAGGTTTAAGTTTGCGGCTGCTATCCGGGGTGGGTGGCATGGCTCGGGTGAGTCTGATATTTGAGAGTACGGCCAAGGGTTCAAGGTTCCGAGTGAACGTGTCTCCTGAAGGATGGGCTGCGTCTCTGTGGCAGGGCTTTTGTGGCAGCTACCAACTTGAACATGGCATCCTTCTATGAAGCTGGGAGCTACGTGCAGGGCTTAAGGCCGAACGTGATGCCACACTGTGTTCGTCGATGGGGCGGGGTTGTGTCTGCAACTTCCGACTGTGTCCTTGAGAGCGGGATGCGTCTCAGTGGCCTGCCTCATGTTCCCATCCATGTCTTTCTCCTGATGCTAGTTGTGTGCGTAGGGTTTGGATTCAGGGTCATGATTCAGGACTTAGGATTTCAAGTGTGCGTCCTGGGTCGTGGTATCCAGCGCTTCGCGTTCGGTGGCGATGGTTAAGTCGTCAAGAGAGAAACAGTCTGGCTTGGGACTGTGGGCAAAGTCCCGAATCGTATCTCCCAAATCTGTGTCCGGATACGTATCGAAATTCGGAGGCACAACAGCCTCAGCTTCGCCGGGTGACACGGGGAAGCCTAAGGATGCAAAGGATTGTGAGCCCAGCAGCAGAAGCTCTAGCGGAGAGGGAAGACCAGGACGGTGGGCGCAGTGCGATCCCCCAGCTGGTGATATCCCTCTGCCTCTGACACCCTTGTTCTGAAAAGGCCGAGCCCTGCGGGGGCTCCCACTCCACTTCGTCTTCGGCAATCATCAGAGACTCAGACTCCATGTGTGCACACACGGCCCCGCAACACCACACGTATTTACTTTATTCGATCTGAGCTACCGCGGCTGCCTTGGTCTCCCATTGTTGATCCTTCATACGATTCGTTCTAGTTACAAGGCATAGCTCATCCCGGCAATAGTGTCCCCTTTCTTCTAAGAGGATACGGCTTTTCACTGGGTTTCGCCACATGGGCTTTGAAAGCAAAAGCTGGCATGGACATCTGTCACACGTAGAAGCATCTGGCACGGGCTTCAAACAAAATCACTGCAAACTTCTATGCGAGAGCAGTGTCATCGGCGCTGTCAATGTAGAAAAGGTATTGAATTGAAGTGTCTTTGAGAAACTCCGTGGTAGAACCTGCTTGCTGCAAACAGCTGCCGACATGCCGCGTGCGACGAATATAGGATTTGACATTCCGGCGCCTTCCACGCTGCTGCTACTTGCAACAACGTATATTAGTTAAACTACTTGATCATCACAGCTACAATCATCGGTGCAACAGCGTAGTGAACTGACCGGGCCAGCACACTTAGACGAGACGTTTCGTCTGGCCTTTCTTCAAGCACAATTTGTCCACGAGGAACCAGACAGGCTTGCTTGCAGACAGCATCTTCTCTGTCTTGTAAATCTTGAAGAGCCATGCGCAGCGTAGAGCGGGGGACTCCTTTAAATCCTTGGCAAGCCACAGGTTAGCTGCGTTGCCGGCCGTGGCATTCTTTGTCTGGAGTGCATGTGGCTTCCAAATCAGATTGGTATCTGGCTTGGGGCTCACGGTGTACCTGAGTTTTTTGCACTGTCACTGCAGACCAACTGCTTCTATGCGTGCGGGCGTGTCTGCGTGTCCGTGTGTGTGTGTGTGTGCGCGCGTGTGTGCGTGCGTGTACGTCCCTCATTTTTTTGCTGTGTGTGTGTGTGTGTCTGTCTCTGTCTCTGTCTCTGTCTCTGTCTCTGTCTCTGTCTCTGTCTCTGTCTCTGTCTCTGTGTGTCTCTGTGTGTCTCTGTGTGTCTGTGTGTGTGTGTGTATGTGTGTGTGGGAGAGCCACAGATAATTAGACACACGCGAATTGTCGAGTTACCGGATTGCGTCCTGCGTAGAGTTCCGGGAGTAGGTGTGTCCACCCAGCTCAAAGTCGATGAGTCCTTTGGATTCGATTTTGATCAGGAATTCACGTAGCGTCATCAACGTGTTGTCTTCGTCCTGGCAACAATGGCAAAACTCAGCAGCCTGACATTTATTGAATCTATTGTCTGCAGAAGGCCTGGTGCACAACCAGCTCTTGGTCATCGGACATCCCGAAGATGTGCGCCTTTGCTGCATTCTCCTGCAATAAAAACCCAGGGCGGGTTTCAGTCTTATACCATCTCTCCGCTTTCACTCACAAGGAATGTTCGCAAGTCCTGGAGGAAAGTTGCAGCCTTCTGGTCTATCAACCAGTTGCCTTGCCCATGCTGTAGAATGCCACTGCCAGCTTCCAGCTCACAATCCGCTGTAGCAGAAACAAACAGCTTCTGACCAATCTTCTTCATGATGCAGGGTGCTCCATCTACTGGCCAGGTGGTGTCAGGTTCTGCCAGGCCCGAATCTTGCGAAATTTCCCCTGGAAAGATCTTCTCCCACTGCGTAGGCTCTTGGGGAGTCTGAGGCTCTGAGCTGGCAACTACGTCCATGGCAACCGGCGCGGCGTGATCTGCATCGAACCGTTTGAGAAATTGACGCCAGTCTGGCCCCCTTAAGGGGCACTGCAAGAACTCCATCCGCAAAGCTGATGGTAGCAGGAGGCAGTTGTCACTGGAAACGCACGCAAGGAGCTCTGGAATTTCCTTGGGGGGCTCCAGGTCGCCCTCAGGTGCGTCCGGAATGTACTTTGGCGCCACGGTCTTCATGATCCCACTGCCGGTCTTCCATTCCTCCAGCAATAAACAATGACTTGCTAGTGTTACTTTTGCATGAAAAGTTTGTGCGGCATCTGGCCTCCAGCATGCCACTGCTGATGATGGTGCTAGCGTAGCTGTGCAGCATTTTCTCATGGCACAGGGTCATCACTGGAAGGCTCAAGGCCAGGCAGGCTTGCTCCAAGGCTGCGTCATATCCGGTGGTGTGCACCACTGCCATCTTCTTTGCCACGCTGGCACCAGCAGCGCAGTTGTTCATCAGGTTGCGCAGCACGGCCTGCAACACTGCTGATCCGCCCAGCCACTGCGCAGTTTCTTGCGCATCTGTGTAGTTCCTGCGCGTGCTGTTTGTCAAGAATGTTCCTTGCGTCGGCACTTTGAAGTCTGCCTCTGCCAAAGCTGGTGGAAAGGGTGGCTTCAAGCCGCGCAGCTTCCACAGGTCGCTGGACACAAACCTGACACAGACAACATGAAGATTCAGTTGAAATGTCGGTTTAGATGGCTCCGTGTGCAAGAAAACACATTGCTTCTGGCGAGTTGCACATTGACTGCCGGGGGATCCTGAATTTTCTCACCTTCTCTTTCGCTCACGACACGGTGAGCCGTTCCCTTTGCCGGCAAGTGTGCATCGTGAACGACCATCCAGCAGTCGTAATAACATGGAATTTCGCGATTGCCGTGCACGGAAGCAACATCGAGGCATACGTGGCACATCCTGCCCATGCTGAAGGCAAGTAAAATACCTATCTGTTTGGCACTTGACAGGCTGAGGCCTCCATGCCAGAGAAGCATTCTCCAGTTTATCTTCGATGGTTCGGTAGTCTGTTTTGAGAGATCCGCCACTGGAAGCCCCGCACAAAAGCGGGGCGAAGATGAGGCCGGCATGTCCTTTCAAGCGGATTTCTGCAAACTCAGACTATGTTAGTATAGTCATTGCAGCAACATATCACAGATTCATCGGCCAGGCAGCGTTGCCCGTTTTTGGTCAGCACGGTCTTGAAGAGCGAGATGTGTTTGCTCAGAATCTGCGTATTCAAGACCCCAAGCTTCGTGAGATCGCAGATCAGAATGACATGCAGCTGAGAGGGCTCCACCTGCAAAAGGAAAACTTGACACATCAACAGCACTGAAGCATGGACTCCCAATCCTGCCTGAAGTTCCTTGCTGGTTTTCAACAAGAACGTGTCCAGCCCAAAGGGGACTGCGATGTCCGGCGTGTACGCCACGAAGCACTGCTTGGCCATCTGTGCCTCAACCAGCCTCACGCCCACAACATGAAAAGAAGCTGCGTCAAAGGCAATCTTTATGTAGACCTCTTCGGCTTAAAATGTGATTTCGAGCTTTTGGGTCTAAGGCTCTTAGCCTGCTAAGGTTTTGTTTACAGTCGACTTATTGCAGAACTTGCCTCTGAACTTGCCTTTGAGCTCCCGTGCCTGTTTGGCATGGGCGTCCTACTTCTCTGGTGCTTCTTCGGCATCCTGCTTCTCTGAGGCCGGCTCGGCACACATCTACACACGCAGATGTGTTTGTCTGCTTGTTGAATGCAATCTTGTAATATTTGCTTGTCATCTCCATTCCTTTTGCGGGGTGTGTAATCCTGTGGTTTCGTTTCGTGTTGTGTTTGCGTTCTCGGCTTGTTTGATGTTTTCCGTACTTCAGTTGCACCTCGGAGTCAATTCGAAAATCGATCAGTCCATAAAAGAATGGTGTACTTGCCGCGTTTAACCGTGTTCTTGATTCAAGGGTTAGGATTCACCGTATGTCCTGTCGCCGACAAGACACTTCATTCCAATGGCCTTCTGCTTACGTTCGTGGTTGACCTTCAGAACGTGCTCCCGAACAACCCGCTTCTTGCCAGCCGTGATATACTGGCTCCAGCTGAGTTCATCCTGCGCGATTTTGGCGCGCATCTCCTGGCAGGGTTAGGGAGTTGCTGGTCTGGGGGCCAATGGTCAAAACACACCAGGCCCGCCCGCCCGCCGGGTGTGGTTTATCCCCTCAACACTCACTTTACATCCCAGTCCTGGTAGCGAGCATCGGCCGTGACCTCCTGCAATGCTTCAATGGATGTTGTGCCCCTGGGGCCCGTGGCCTTCACTTGCATGTGCATGTCCACAATCTCGTGCCAGACGGACAAATGCGCGAGCTTGAAGTTTGGCATTTTGTTGGTGCTGGCCAGCACCATCTCATCATAGTACTCTCGGCTCAGCATGGCCTTCTTCAAAGCCTCGTGGATGTCGTGCTCTGTGGGATGCACCTTCTTCGCCTCGGCCATGACACCGCGCATCATGGCAACGTAATCCACAAGGCTCTCCAGCTCCTCAACGCTGGCTCGACACTTGGGACGAGCGCTGGCACGCACCTTCTTGATTTTCTGCACATAATGGGCGATGAAGATTTTCAATGTGTCCATTTGAATCTCAGGCGTCACCGTCAGCATGGCCTTGAGGTCGAGGTTCTCTGTCTTGCGGGTGGCGTGCAGGAGCCAGCGAGTGGAGCAGACGTGGTGGGTGGTGAAAGCACACTCCTTCCACTTGAAATGATTCAAATGGCCCTGAAGGATGGCCAAAGATCCCTCGGCAGGCATTTTTTAACCAGTTGCTGGGCAAACTACCATTACAACCTGGTTGCTGCCAAGGGGCTGGCACAGTTCCTGTTATCAGGTTCAATATACTCCGTGTCTTCTCGGCGTCTAGGGCAAACTTGCTGGTCATGTGCTTGGAAGCGTGAAACTCGTCCAGCACGCTCTGCAATCGCTTTTCTGTATTCCAAGACGGGGGATGATCGCCTTTGGCGCTCTTCTCGGCCATGATCTCTGCGAATCGTAGGCTCAAACTCACCAAACTGGGTGCCTCTGCGAGCAGGCAAGAAGAGCTACTACGCAGAGACCCCTTGCAAAACAAGCTGGGCTGTACTGGTACTGGTCTCATGCCTGGCGTTCAGCGCCTCGAAACGACAGCGCCATGTTGGCGTAAGAACGCTCTGCAGAGTTCATGTTGACAGAGACCTGAGCTGCATTTCGTGTCAACGCAACGCCTTGGTCAGCCGCAGAGCTTAAAGCCAGAGTGCGCGTAGGCACCCGGTCAATGACAGGCTGCCGTAACTGGAATCATGAAGGCTTTGTCTAACACCGGAACGAAGGGGAGTAGCAATTGCCAGTCTTCCTCCACATCCAGCTCGACACAGAGCAAGACCAGGAAGGCCAAAGCCGTGGCTTTGGTGTAACCTTTATAGATCTCCAAGGTGGCGGGCCCCAGCTGCAAGTGGTCCCCATCGTCAAAGTTGGCCTGAGTACACTATTTTATTATTGTTTTCGGGTTGTCCGTTCTCAGAATACATGCAGCCAAGGGTCGTTGACACTCAGAGGCTCTCTCTGCAAGTCCACGCCGGTGAACAGCATCGATTCCAGGACTGTGAGCCAATCCTTGGCCGGTGGAAGCCCGTCAGTCGGGATCGCGTACCTGACAGCGGCCAGATTACAATAATTCCTTCCTGCCAACACACACACACACACACAAACACACAAACACACACAACACACACACACACACACACACACACACACACACACACACAACACACACACACACACACACACACACACACACACACACACACACACACACCACACACGCACACGCACACGCACACGCGCACGCCACCATCACGCACAGCACACGCACACGCACACGCACACGCACACGCACACTCACACTCACGCACTCACACGCACACGCACACGCACACGCACACGCACACGCACACGCACACGCACACGCACACGCACACGCACACGCACACGCACACGCACACGCACACGCACACGCACACGCACACGCACAGACACGCAGACCATGTTGGCGCCGTGGTGCACCAGAGACATGAGTGGACATTTCGTTGTGTCGCCGTCCACCGTCCGATCAAGAACCTCATTCTGCAGCAAACAAGCGATAAGTTTTAATGAGGGCGCAACAGAAGTCGAGAAACATACCGGTGGCCCTGCTTGAACAGGAACGGAAGATTTCTCTTCGCGTGATACGCTTCCAAGAACACCTCAATCTGGTTGCAGTTGGCTGCGTTGTGCTCGGAGTTTGGTGACGCCAGGATCTGAGGGACTATGGCAGCAGGATGCTGAGACACTTCCAGGTCCATCATGTCCGAGAGATCTCCTTGCCAAGAGGCCATGTACTCCAGCAGTTCCTGGCGGAAAGAGCCGCACTTTTAGAAACATCGCGCCATCACACATTTACTTTACAGACAGACCGTTTACACGACCGCTGTCCTTCACCAATGTGAGGTCACCCTCCATTTTTGAGCACTGCTTGCTGGCTGTTGAGCACCACCGCTTTGCAGAACCCCCCGGCTCTTGCTTGGCTTCCGTCTTGGCTGGCGAATCCTCACTCTCTGGCTTGCTGCCTGGCTTTGTGGGAGACAGCTCTGTCTTCGCGGTAGTAGCATCAGGTTCGGCTTGGTCCTTCCCCAACCTGGCAGCCAGCCTGGCTTTGTCTAGGAAAGACATCATGGTGCCTGACCAGGCTTTGCTCGCTGCGAGCCCAAATTACTAGTAGTAGCACTTGTCGGGCCACTAACTTGGTCGCCCCATATCCTCACAAAGCACAGACTGCCTCAAAGAGATTAATTAATTCTTGGAGCACCCTGCAGTGGCGGGTTGTGATCTGAAGAAGTGCTGCGTTTGGTTGCTGACCTCAGCTGTCCGTGCCGTGTTGGGCTGCTAAACTCCTTTTTCGGTGCCGCGTGGGATTGTGGTCCTTCCTTATCGGTGCCGCGTGGGGTTGTGGTCCTTCCTTATCGGTGCCGCGTGGGGTTGTGGTCCTTCCTTATCGGTGCTGCGGGGGGTCCCGGTCAAAAGAAATCGGTGCACCGGCCCGGGGGGAACGCATTGATTTCTAAGGTCGGCGCCGGCTTGGGGGTTTCGGACAACGATGGGTCCTTCCTTTTCGGTGCCGCTTGGGCTTGTGGTCCTTCCTTATCGGTGCTGCGGGAAGACCCGGTCGAGAGAAAACAATGTACCGCCCGGGGGCACAGCCTATTATACTGTATTAGTATCGAACAGAATAATAATAATAATATTCGAGCATGTTGTAGTATATATATATATAGTGTATTATTATGTCGTGTGTATATCAGACAATTCCCATCGACGGCAGTATGTTAGGGCATTGATTTTCTGTGTACGCACCTAAGTTATTATCAATGCGTCCGCCCCGGCCGGACGCATTGATAATCATGGTGTTTGACCACTCGCTAAGATGCCCAAATGATAATAATATTTCCCCACTGGCTTACACCAATGATTATCAATGCGTCCGGCCGGGGCGGACGCATTGATAATAACTTAGGTGCGTATACAGCAAATCAATGCCCTAACATACTGCCGTCGATGGGAATTGTCTGATATACACATTACATAATAATTAATACACTATCTATATATATATATATATACTACATGCTCGAATACTATTATTATTCTGTTCTATACTAATACAGTATACTAATACCACGTATTCCCATAGTACGCTCTAATCGTGTTCTATTCTATTCTATGGAGATAAATATGCTGTGCCCCCGGGCGGTACATTGTTTTCTCTCGACCGGGTCTTCCCGCAGCACCGATAAGGAAGGACCACAAGCCCAAGCGGCACCGAAAAGGAAGGACCCATCGTTGTCCGAAACCCCCAAGCCGGCGCCGACCTTAGAAATCAATGCGTTCCCCCCGGGCCGGTGCACCGATTTCTTTTGACCGGGACCCCCCGCAGCACCGATAAGGAAGGACCACAATCCCACGCGGCACCGATAAGGAAGGACCACAATCCCACGCGGCACCGAAAAGGAAGGTCCACAACACGCGGCGCCTCGCGTCCACAACCCCCCCAAGCCGCTGCCGACCATAGAAATCAACCTGGAAGTTGACAATTTTAGTCTTGTAGTTTTTGGCTTTTCTAGTCGTTTTGTTTTTTCTGGTCGTATTTGCGCTTCCTTGCCTAAACCCGAGCCAACACCTTTACCCTTACTTAGACTACCGAGCTAACTAACCCACATTAAACCTCAAGCTCAGGAACTGGAACAGAGGAACCTCGGTGCCAGTTCCTTCCCTAAACCCAAGCCGAAACCTTGACCCTGAGACTACACAGCTAGCAAAACCACGTTAAACCCTAAGCTCACGAACTGGAACCGAGGACACCTCGGTGCCAGTTCCTTCCTGAATAGATAGGGCTCAAAGGGTTTATGGCTTCGGGTTTGAGGGGCGGTTTGGTGGGCTTTTGCGGCTGTTTTAGTTTTTGTGGGTGTTTTGCTGCGCCTGGAATGTTGCGGAGAATTGCGGCGGTTTGCGGCCAAAAGGCCACGAAAACCAAAACAACAAGAAAAAATGCCCGTTGGAACTTCCAGGAATGCTATGCCTCGGGGCGGTACATTGATTTCTCTCGACCGGGACCCCCCGCAGCACCGAGAAGGAAGACGAACCATAACCCCACACAGCGCTGATAAGGAAGGACCACAACCCCACGCGGCGCCGAAAATAAAGGACCACCACCCCACGCGGCACCCAAAACCATTCTCAGCAAGGCCGGTGTAAATATCACACGTCAGCAAACTTCGGGACCTGAACTTTATCTTGCACTGGACTGGAGCTACCTTTGAAGCATGGCATATTTCTGACAAAACTTAAAACCCAGAGTCCGCCATCCACATGAATATGCGGCATCCAATACGTTCAGGGAGCAAGAACTCGTGTTGACATGAAGGTGGCGTTCCACGATGCCCGCCCAACTTCGCAAGATTGAACTGGATCTGCTGACTGAATCACTTTTCCTACGTCTGCTTCGCTGCCTGGAGCCATCATCCCCTGTCCAGGTCAGCGTCCCCGAATAAAGAGGAGGATATGTTATCCTCCTTGCACAAGAACTGTACACTGCAGACAGAGGAACGGAGCATCCTGACAGAGAGAGCTTTAGGGCCAACTGTTCGTAATTCTCTAGAACCCCTGCGACTATACGCTGACCTTAATGTTTATGCCTTTGTCCTGTCAGTGCGCCAGTGTCTGCACCCGCCCGCATAAATTAATGATGTCAGCGTACGTGTCGCGGAAACATCGCCCGCAGCGGCAGAGATGGAGCCAATGCTTCGACCACAGATGGGTGCATGCTGAATGCAAGATCTCCCCTGACAGGTCTTCGCCCCGGAGAGGCCAGAAATGGCAAAGGAGGAAAGGTGGCGTCTCTCCAAAATTCATCTGCCACGAGCTTCTGCAGATACTCAGACGACGGCTTGTACCGATCTCCATATGCCACCAAGAGCTTGGCAGCTGTTTTGGCCCACTCCTGACGCGAGCTTCAATCACAAAAAGCCCCAGGACTGAGTTACACTTGAGTGTGACACAATCATGCACTCGGCCATGAGCTTTGTGCACAAAGTCCTTCTTTGACGTTGTCTTGTCGCGCAACTCTTGCTTCTGCGTCGGCACCATGCTGCCGTGAATCTGCACAGATTCCGGCAACGTTAGGAGCGGGTCCTGGCCGAGAGCCCTGAGGCTTTTGCTGTTTCCATCGGCGGAACCCTTAAGACCTTGAACCCTTCAAGCACTAGTAATCTCAGGTATCAAGAGCTGTGATGAGCTGTGCTCTCTCACAGTCAGCACAGCTGCCTGTGCCAGATCATCCGACGAGATGTACTTCTTCACCAGAGTAATCACATCGTGGGCGGAGGTTTCTCCGCCGTAAGATCTTCGATTGATGCGATTTCGAAGGCCGTCAGGAAGGTCTGGCCGACATGTGCTGGAAACAACTCAAACACAAACTGGTTCCGAATGAAACGTTTATCTTAAGAATGTGCTCTGCCGTCAGCCTCGAGCGAGGACACACACGAAGAGATGGTTGGCTGACCTGTCCAGCTTCAGTCCGCCATCCAACTTCACGCCGTGGCTCGACATCATGTCTCTCCAAGATCTGCTAGCCGCATAAGTGAACACGGAGACCTGCGCCCAAAAGGCATGACTATTCTTGTCATGTGGAGGCTTGCAAGCTGACTTTCAGAACCCTCGCCCTAAATTCGTAGCTTAACGTAAGAAACCAGCAGGAAACCATCTATGATCCAAATGAAACAGCGAATTTGGATACAAATAGGAGAGCAAGCCGATGGACAGACAAACACGTCGAAGCAAGAAACTAGCAGAGAAGAGCGCGGAACAAAGGATATTAGACACTGAGACATGTGGGCATCATATAGGACCTGCGGCTTTGAGCTGCTTGTGTTGGTTTTGTCCTGATGTGTTTCTTAATGCTCTTGGCATGGTACCTCAATTGTATGTGTTTCTGTGCTTTGTAAGTTGCGTCCTAAGCTGTGCAGGCTGCCAGGAGACGGTATTTAAAACATTAAATTCAGAAAGATCAGGACAAAAACTTGAAGCCATTCTGAGTTTCTGAATTTTACTCTCTATCTTTAGGTTTATTCCTACTTGGACATTGAATGTGTTCATTCAGCAGAAAAAAACACCGATCTAAGTTATTTCCTATTTGCTGCCCACGTTATCCCGATGTGTTTCCTAAACAAGTTGATTTTCAACATCCCTGGGCAAAGCCTGCGGACAACCGACATTTGTCCAAGTTCCGCCTTTGTCTGGGATCCCAGCCACTGCCGCAATCCCGGTCGGGAACATTCGTTTCGGATGACCTGGACGACGTCTTCTGGAGTGAGGACCTTGTCCGTCCGGCCGATGCGTCTGGACCAAACCCCGAAGATTTGATCTGCGCAGGAACATAGTCACCGCTTTGAGGTCAAGACCCTAATAAAGCACGAGTCTACCCTTTGGTTTGACGTGCGGGGGGTGGAGCTGAAGTGGTTGTCAGCGACACATTTGCTTCTACTTATACTTGGAAGTGGTTCTTCAACTACTATGTAGCAAGCAAAAGGAACTTGTTTTGACAACAGTTGTTAATACCCTGCCTAGTTTGTCGTGCGAGTGACTCTTCCTCAGAAACGCAAGGCCAGCAACGCGCATGAGGGAACGTTGCAGCAGGAGATTGGCAAAGTTGAGAACATACGTGTTCTTGTTTTCGCGGACTGTATTGTCCGCCTCACACTGCGTAAATAGTGGACACGCTGGAAATGATTAGCATTCCTACCAGACTAACGGACAGCATGCTACTGTGCTACAAGGAACGACGATGATGCACTGCTGGGGCATGTCGTGGCCACGCTGGCGGCAGAGGTCGTGAACCTACGATTTGCAGTGAAACAACCCTATAAGTGCAGCATATAAACTGAAACCAATGACCCACTAACATCAACGTACATATGTATATACATAAGTTAATAAATATACATTTTTTGTTGCTTAGGCATTCAGGGAAAACTCCAAGACAGAGTCTAAACTCGCCGCCTCCTGAAGTGTTTGCGACAGGAGCTCCATGATAAACGAGGAATCCTTTGCAACTGTCTCATGCGCAACAGCCACTTTCAAGCAGTAGCCCATCGCCCAGCAGGCATGCACGGCTGTCCGAG